CACACACACACGCACACACACGCTCACCTTCGCACGGCAGCAACTCCAACCAGCGAACATGAAGAGATTGACTGCCGCTGCAGTGCCGCAGCATTTTCGGTGGCCTGCTGCAAGGGCGTCTTAGAAAGATGGATGCCCCTTGTGAGGGCATTTCGTGGTCGTACCGACGAAACGCCATCCGCGGTCCGGTAAGGGCATAGTAGAAAGTTGTGCCCCATGCTGACAGGGGCCTGCAGAAATTCCAGAGGCCCCAGGAGCACGACAGGGTAAGTCGGCCTTCAGAGGGGCACGCGGCAAATTTATGGAAATTTGAGGGGCATCTCGAAATTTTACCTTGTTTTGGGGGGGCAAGTACGTTTGTGTCACAAAATGAAGTTTGAAGGGCAAAAAAAACAATAACGGACGACGAGAACATGGCCGTAGTTCGAAAAGGCAGTCATAACATCACAAGGCGGTAACATCAGGCCCCAAGTTTGAAAAGGCAGTAATATCGCTTTCCGTGGCCCCTTTTTTTTTTTTTTTCCGCTTGCGCGCTCTAGTTACAGTATTATGGTTATGTGCACCAACGGGCCTAGCTCAGTTGGTACACCCACGAACTGTTGAAATACAGATCCAAGTTCGAACCCAAATACAATCAGAGGAACAGAATAAAATAATTCTGAATTACCTGGGGCCGGTCAGTTCAATGATGATTTTTTTTTATTTTTTTATTTTTTTTTGGTTCAATGATGATATCTCAAGGCTTTCGCCCTCTGAATTTTTTTTTCAGTTTTTTTTTAACTATGATTAATAACTTATTAGGTTATATACCCAAAGCCCATCAAGCAATTATGTGAAGCCCCCAACCTAGGGAGAGGTCAAACAATTGCCGTTTCTTCCCCCCCTCTCTCCTCCCCTCCCCTCCCCCTCCCCCCTTTTCTCCTTTTACCAAACCCCCTCCCACCCTGGCTGACCAACAATAGGCCTGTTCAGGCTATCGTGTCAAGCAAGCCCACCCTTGGAAGAGAGTCTCACAAGACACCACAAAGGCCAAATGCATCCTTCTGAACGTATCGAGACCTCCACGAGTTCCAGATGCATTTAGAACGTCCTGCCGTCGAGCGAAGGACCTACCTAGGTGCAGGGGTTTTTTTTTTTTTTTGGAGTGGATTCACTTTCATTTTCAATCGAGATTCGAACTCTCGCGCCATTCGAATTGCAGTATGTGATGGGTACCCATCACATACTGCAATTCGAATGGCGCGAGAATTCGAATCTTCTGGGGGGGGCGAGAGGTCCCAGAGAGGATTAGATTAAGCGCATGAACCTGAGTGCGAGGGGTACCCCTCTTCTTGGGGGGGGGGGGGGGGGGGGGGGGGGGGGGGGGGGGGGGGGGGGGGGGGGGGGGGGGAGGGGTACCAAAAAGGATTAGATTAAGCGCATGAACCTGAAATAGTTCATTTAAACACAAAAAAGAAAAGAAAAGAAAAGAAAAGAAAAGAAAAAGGTTACAAAATCCTGGGGACAATTTTTTTCTCGTTTTTACTTCACAGATTTTTAACGTTCGTAACTTCTTATCATATTGCTAGATGACCACTCTTGCGGCTTCGCTCGCAAAGGAAAAGAAGTTGCACGACATTAAGAGGGAGGGGAGGGGAGGGGAGGGGAGGGGGCCCTGTTTTGCAGGGGTCTTACCTGTTGAATGATCTCGCCTTTGTTGGCAGGCGCTGGCTTAACTCAGATGACAAGGTATTGCAGAGCAGAACGTGGATGGAGGCCAAAGAAAAGAAAAGAAAAAAAAAAAAAGCGAAATAGAAAATGAAAACAGACTTCTTTCACTGCACTGATAAAAAAAAGGAAACGTCTTTGGCTCTTACAGTGTATGGAGGGGGGGAAAGAATAAAAAAAGGAAAACAGACCTCTCTACCTCTCTCTCTCTCTCTCTCTCTCTCTCTCTCTCTCTCTCTCTCTGAAACGTCTTTGCCGTGCAATGTTTCAGGAAAAAAAAAAGAGGAGGGCAGCGTGATGGGCAGCGCGATGGCGGATGGGCGGGCAGCGGAACGGAGGCAAGAGCGGAGGTGAGCGGAGGTGAGGGGAGGCGGAGGAGAAGTGGCGGAGGCGGGGAGGAGATGGCGGGAGGAGGCGGACGGGAGGCGGGCGGACGCCGAGGGGAAGTGGGCGGAGGTAGCGGCGGAGGCCGAGGGGAGGTGGGCGGAGGTAGCGGGCGAAGGCCGAGGGGAGGTGGCGAGAGCGGAGGTTAGCGGAGGCGGAGGAGAAGTGGCGGAGGCGGAGAGATGGCGGGAGGAGGCGGAGAGGAGATGGCGGACGGGAGGTGGGCGCCGGCAGAGGGGAGGTGGGCGCTGGCCGAGGGGAGGTGGGCGGAGGTAGCGGGCGGAAGGAGCGGGCGGAAGGAGCGGGCGGAGAGGAGGTGGGCGGAGGTTCCGCTGGAGAGGAAATGGCGGGAGGAAGCGGGCAGGAGCTGGGCGCCGGCCGAGGGGAGGTGGGCGATCCCAATGGTGGAAGGGAGGTGGGCGGAGGCGGAGAGGAGATGGCGGGAGGAGGTGGGCGGAGGCCGAGGGGAGGTGGGCGGAGGTCGCCGGCCGAGGGGAGGTGGGCGCAGGCGGACCCCAATGGCGGAGGTAGCAGGCTAAGGGAAAGTGGACGGATATAGCGGGCTAAGGGTAGGTGCACGGAGATAGCGGGCGAAGGGGAGACGGGCAGGGGAGGTGAGCGCAGGCGGCGGGCGGAGGAGGGGGCCGCAGCCAGAGGCCAAGTGGCCCGGACAGAAGGGG